TAAACGAAGATAAAACCAATACTAGAAGAACTGCACTCCCAACGAGTTTGAAAACAGGAAACAAAGGCAGATTTCTAGAAATACGCTACCTACCCAAACTAAACACACATGCAAGCAGAAAACCGAACAGACCATAGCAAAAGAAGAAAATGATCAGGTCATTAAACTCCCAAGCCAAAAAAAAAAAAAAAGGTGGGGGGCCCGAAACAAAGGCTTTCACTAATGAATCCTGCAAAACATTCAGAGGGGAACTGACACCAAGTCTACTCAAACTACTCCCGGATGCAGAAAAGGTTGGAAAACTCCCAAATGCACTTTGTGAAACAAGCATCGCCCTGTGTATGGGTTGACTAGAGAAACAGATTCATCGACACTCGTGTATAGGAAAGAGCTTTATATACAAGAGCAATTGAATATTGAAAATCATCCCAGTCCAGATCAAGTCCGTAAGTCCTAGCCCATATGTCCAATGCCAATCTACAAAGAAGTCTTCAGATTCACGCAACACATGCTATGATGCTGAATGCAGGACGATCACAGGCCAGTGGGTGGTAAGTCTTGTGGGTCCAGTGGCGGTGGAAGCATCCACTGGCAGGGGTCTCCCAGGTGGTTCCCAGCTCCAGGACTCTAGTGTCACTCCATGTGTCTTCTCAACAGGAATGTCTCGCCACGAGTGAGTGTGTGTCCAGCCTCCAGGGAGCTATTTCTCTCTGCCTCCAAATGAGGTCATCAAGCTGCAACCTTATTGACAGGTTCAACTACACCCCTTCACTCTTAAGACTCAATTTGTCAATAGATTATGTAACTACCACACCCAGATAGCAAAACCAGACAGAGACATCACCAAAAAAGAAAATTAGGCAAAGAACTCTTATGAGCATAGATGTAAACTTTCTCAATAATTATAGTCAATAGAATCCAACGGTTTGTCCAAAAATAATAAAAATGCATTATGACCAAGTAGGATTCATATAGTTGTACAAAGACAGTTCAACGTTAGAAAAATCATCCCTGAAATCCATCACATAAAGGAAAAGCACACGTGATGTAGAAAAGGCACTTGGCAAAATCCAACACCCGTTTTTGTTAAAAACACTCAATAAAAATGACACAGCAGGGGTGTCCTCTTGAGATGGCTCAAGAGGAGCTCAAGATGGGTGGGCTGCAGGCCCCATACCTCGCTGCCCCCATGCAGTCCACCCCGGGTGCCCGACCACGTCGTCTGGTCCCTCTTCAACGCGCTCTTCCTCAACTGCTGCTGCCTGGGCTTCGTGGCCTATGCCTACTCTGTGAAGTCTAGGGACCGGAAGATGGTGGGTGACATGATTGGGGCCCAGAGTCACGCATCCACAGCCAAGTACCTGAACATCTTCTGTACGGTCCTCAGCCTCCTGGGAATCCTCATCTTCGTCATTCTTCTCGCCACAGGCACAGTGATGAGCTTACAAGCCCTGTCACAGATGATGGGCCAGCGAGGCCACTAGCCACTGCACCATGCTGTGTCCTGAACCCTCTGGCCCTACCCTGCCTGCCCCCGCTCCTGTCCACAGCCTTTGCACATGTATCTCCATCTCTCAGCAAGGCCAATAAAGTGCCCCAGTGTATAATGAAAAAAAAAAAAAGACAGCTGGGAAATTCCTCAACATAGCAAAGGGCACACGTACAAACCCCAATGACCAGCATTATTACTCTGTGGGGAGAGACAAACCGTTTCCCTTGCAAATAGAACCGAGACACGCATGCCTTTCATCATCACTCCTATGGTGCTGGAAGTCTTAGCCAAAGCTATTAGACAAGAAAGGGAACTGATGGCATCCTAACTGGCAAGGAAGGTGTAAAACACTTATTTGTAGATGATGTGATCCTAAACGCGCCGAATATCCCAGAGACTCCACAAGAAACTCGTTAGAACTAATTGAAAGACTCAGTACAGTGGCAGAGTGCAAGACCAACATACAAAACTCAGTTGGATTCCTTTAAGCTAACAGAGAAAAGGAAATCAGGAAAATGCCATTTACAACCAAAAGATGAAATACTTAGGAATAAATCTAGAGAAACAAAAGACCTGTACAAAAAACAAAACCCATAGGGGGGAAAATGAGGAACTGATACCAAGGGCTTAGGGCAACGAATGTACAAATGTGCTTGACACATGAATGGATGGATGGATTGTGTTCAGAGTTGCATGAGCCCCCGATAAAATGATTTTTAAAAATTAAATTGCCAAAGCATGTAAGAAAACTATAAAACACTGCTCCAAGAAACCAAAAGAGATGTACATGAATGAAAAATATATCATTCTTGTGCTTAGGAGGACTGCCTTGGAAGAAAGTCTAACAATCTGCTTTCAGAAGGCCCCCGCCATGAAAACCCTGGCACATTTGGGGTTTCCAGGAGCAGGAGCTGACCCGGTGGCACCCCGATATTCCATATAGTAGCACCCTCTGTCCTTGCCATTGCTGCCCTTCCTACCATTTACCTGGGCTCCTCATTATTTA